TGCCGACTGCGATGTGTGACTTCGAAATTAAGTGGTTCGTCACACCATTACCGTTCAACTCGAGTAGTCCTCCAATCATTCTACATAAATAATCTACGCTGATGATCTACACTGGTGAGCAAATTTTTTAATAACGCGACCTATCATTATGATCTTTTTATTGTTTTCTGTGCTTATTCTTTTTCATTTTTATCGTCGCCTATTTTAATCAATTGCTGTGAACAGTCGTTGCTTCATATCAATGTTGATTAGTATTTAAACTTAAATAATTAGTTCAATCGATAGAACTACTTAATGAACTACGACTATAATCGGCTATGGTGATTCTTTAACAAGCATTAGCAGTATGTAAATGCTCCTGTGTGATAAGTCTGTTAAAATATCGACCACTCGTAAGTATAGTCACAAGGCAACAGGAACACAGATGTTTGCAACTTATCCACTTGTATAAGCGCGACAAGATTAACTGTCGATTATGGGTTCATCTTCCTGTTTAATCTGTGGAGATAGGCACGATCAACTTATTTTGTAAATAGTTTTTGATATTATTTGCATTTATTTTGTTAAATTTCACAGTTCGTACATTTCCCACGAAATAACTGAAGAAGTTGTTGAAGCGCATGACCTTGAACTCACAAACTCTCGTTTTGAATCACTCATAGCATGACATTCTGCTAACTGTTCATAAATGCACTGCTACTCACACGTCTCCCATTCTCCATTGCCTGTGGTTATGAGAAGCCAACTATAAAATATCTATTATCTGAATTTATAGACTACAGCCATATTCTCATTATATTCTACGTCTGGCTATATCTTGGAATTACAACAACCCTACTGGAATTAATAATTATCTATAATTGTGGATTATGGTACCAAATGCAACTCAACACACACCAAAGCCTGGTGATTTGAGTAACGTCCCATAACTTTTCTTTGTGTTTATTGATTGTAATTGGTATACTCTAACAAGTAACTTTATTGTCACATTTGAATTAAGATGATTTTTCGTCCACCATAAATCACTATCAACTATCTTCCATCAGAAACTATCTACTAGCGTTTTACTTACTTGACAACTGCATCTCTAATTTCCGATTACTGAGTTCCATGGCCAAACAGAGGATACGAATGCTAGAAATTTATGGTGGGTTTGAACTATGAATTTCCCGCAATCTTAGATCTCGTTTAGACTGTTTGTCAGACAACGCTACGTATTTGGCTTAAATTAATTTTGGACTTTTACAAATTAAGTCTGCAATGCTATATTAATCCAAGAATTTAACCAACAGTACCTCGTATATAATCCAGATTCGAATTACTGTCTACTTCAAATTTTCATAACTTGGGAACGAAAGTAAACCAGGCGAGTTTCATAATTTTATTAGATTATTTCGTACTATATTTATGATACGTAATAAAATTTCGTAGTTGCTCACACTTAAAGTAGTCATATATCCTGTCACTGCCGTCAAGTTTTAGTCGAAATCATGTACATTTTTGGTTGGTATGTCGTCATAATGTGGAAAAACGTATTGCATGTACACGAGCAATCTTAGTCCATATCCTAACTAGACACTTTGTCATACGTAATATGTCGCTTAACGCTAAGTAATAAGCTATTTGCATCAGCCTTTTACGAAATGGCCACGTTATGTGAACTCTCCAAACTTTAATCACATTGGTGGTTACCATTTTAATTCATGTTTACCATACTCGTTGTATTTGCTGTTATCTCATACGGTAAATCATGGCTCGAGTTCCTTACTACACAAAAGTCATTTTAATACCGTTTTTGGTTTCTTCACATGCAATACGGGTTTAGAAAATATCTAAACAGACTCTAGAATCCTGTACAAACCTCATCATAGTCTTCGTATTCACACATCCAACAATAACTAACAATACCCACACGAACGTTCAGTGCAACTGTCAGAATCCGTAGGAACGATGTTATTTCGATTTGACGATATAACACATCCAAACTATTGTGGTTATTCAACTTCGACGTCATACTTTATTTTGTGAAGTATTGTCTCACGGCTGTTATCTAACAGATGATTTCGGTAAATCAATTAGCTGTTCAACTACTTGATGATTTAAAACCTGTCCAGTTCAATTGATGGTCTGACGACACAGCCATTCGCGCAAATCATCAGTTTATGCAGTCGAGAGAATCTTCTGCAAACTGTAAACGACATTGTCGCCTCTATCCCAACACTGACAGCGTTTTTCACCGGTATCATTGACATGAGTCCAGAGTGACACTTTTGGTTTCATATATTCTTTTCGATATTTTTCGGTTCACTTATTGAACAGACATGCAGCACTCACCATTTATCATCTTTTAGAGACCTGATTGTGCCGTCTTCGCTCTCGATCTGTAGCCTTCAACCCTTACTGACTGTAACATCAGTCACTGACTTTTCAAACTCTGACTAAAAGTTGATCAATAGCTTTGCACAACGAAATCACGACTTCTCTTCACGGTTATACTTCTGTACTTACGGTTAGTCTATTAGATGTAGATATAACCGGAATTCGGCACTAATTAATAGCTGTCAACGACACTGTCTTGATTTCAACTCTAAACCAATGACGGTACAAACATCGACATCAATTGATAAAACACTTATCCTACTGTCACTATAGCATCATTACTCTTGCAGCAAGATTAACGCTTCTCATCTGAGGAACTCAGTCATTTGTCAGAAGTATCTATTTAAACGCGACTTGATAGAACTTTAAAACGTTATGTTTTTTCTATTATTTCTATGGTTAATCGCTTTTATTCAACCGACGTCCTAGTAACATTATGATTTACTGTTTCCCAACCAGTTTCTGCTGCCTCCTTTCAATTTGTTTTACAGCTCGGCAACACCGGATTATTCATACTAATCGTTGGACAATCTTCGACGCGCGACTACCAATATGCATGATAGTGACTTAGACGACTGTTGAACCTGGTGGAGGAGTATTGTAGGGCCAGTGAAGTGTCGCTGAACCCTAGCCAAATCATCCGGCAGTTGGGTCACTGAATATCGGACAAATCATCGATCCCTACCAGGGTCGAGGACAACCAACGCGCACCAGTTAATCGTATGCCATGGACTGGCTCACACAGATCTTCTTATATATGTCAATCCACCAATCCAGCAACACAATGTTGCTGAACCGGATCAAAGACGCAGTAGACAGCCAACTTCGAGATCAACAAGCTGAATTCCGTGAGGATCGATCGTGCACAGACCAAATAGCGACACTACGGATCATCGTCGAACAATCAGTTGAGTGGAACTCGTCACTATACATCAACTTCATTGATTATGAAAAGGCATTTGACAGTGTAGATAGGAGGACATTATGGAAACTTCTTCGACACTACGGAATTTCTGAGAAGATTGTCAACATTATTCGGAACTAATACGACGGACTACAGTGCAAAGCAGTGCATGGAGGACAGCTGACAGACGCATTCCAAGTATGGACCGGAGTCAGACAAGGCTGTTTACTCTCTCTTTCTCTCTTCCTCTTTCTTCTAGTGGTCGACTGGGTTATGATGACCTCGACATCTGAGGGAAAACACGGAATACAATGGACAGCTCAGAGTCAATTAGACGATTTGAACTTCGCAGATGACCTAGCGCTCCTATCACACACACACAAGAACAAATGCAGATAAAGACAGCCAGTGTAGCAGCAGTCTCTACATCAATAGGCCACAAAATACACAAGGGGAAAACCAAGGTCCTCAATTACAACGCGGAGAACAGCAATCCAATCATTCTTGATGGCGAAACTCCGGAAGATGTAGAATCCTTCACATACATGGGAAGCATTATTTTTTTAGCATATTGTATTTCATGGTCCCTTATAGTAAGAAAAGACAACCAGACTCTGCTCAACCTAGCAACCTATCAGAAGAGTGTTTACCAACGACAAAACTCGTTGGGTATAAACTTCTGGCTGCCCACGTCTTAGGGTCATCACTACCCCACTAGAGGAGGAGTGATCTGTAGCGGTAAATAAATCCCCAAAATAAATAGCTCTGCAAATTTTCGACATTGGATGCTGACCAGATTAGTTTTAATGGACTTATCTAGCTGAAGGCGCTCGGTCATGCATCTGCACCAGATCACGTGTGGGAACGCAGTGCTCAGCATCTACTACAATCGCTAGCCAGACTAGATCATACAATGCTCGATATATTGGTAGTATATCAAGTATATCTTCGAACTTCCTCGCTTCTGTCTTTTGATTTCACTTGGTGGGTACGCTTCATATTAGGCGTTACTGGTAAAAGTGTTGTCAAACTCCGAGTACCTGTGGTATTTTCAAAGTAAAGTAGATACAAGCGAAAGTCAAACCACCGCCGTATGAGTCAGTCCATGGCTTACGATTAACTAATACGCATTGGTAGTCCTTAAACTTGGCAGGGATCGATGATCTGTTAGATATTCAGCGGTCCAACTGCCGGATGATTTGGCTAGGGCTCAGCGACATTTCAGTGGCCCTACAATTTAAATTGAAGCTTCATCTGTCCCCCCTCCCCCAAAAAAGTTGGGTCAATTGAGAGAACACCATTTTCAGGGCTAACGCAAATCATCTGGCCTCCTGTTTATTCCAAAAATAAAAATATAAAGATGTCACAATAGTTTGTAGTTTGACAATCCCTTTACCAGTAACACATTAATATTCGAAGTATGCTAACTCAGTCAAGTCAGAAGGCAGAATCGAAGAAGTTCGAATATATATTTGAAAGGCTATCAGTATTTCGAGGAACGTTTGGTTCAAGCCGGCTAACAGTTGAAAGGGATGCTTAACACACCGAAACCAACTGTGGTCTGGTGCGAATGCGTGACCGATCACCTTCAGCTAGACGTGTCCAGTAAAATGAATAAAGTCAGCGTCAAATGTCGAGGACTCACGGAAATACCGATTTGGGGATTTATTTACCACTACAGAGAGTTATCAGAACTTTGTTTAAAAGATCCAGTTTGCCATAAGGTGACCCTGACTTGGTTTCCAGGTTTTCGAAAGGTCACGATGGATGATTTTATCCTAAATATTTTGGATACGAGTGGTCGTCAAGAAAAACAGTGTAAGGTAATTTGTTGCCCAACACTCAGTCACTTTGAGTAGAACGCGTCAAGTCGTAAGAAATCTAACTCAATCACTTCATCTTATGCTCCTATACATACTGCAGCTAAGGATGAACTTGTTATTCAGAAGAAAAAGAAAGAAACAAGTGTTGGCCGTAAGTCTTTGCCGGAGAAAAATTCCTTGCAGTTTGGTATACACAACAAAATGACTGAGACTCCTATGCTACATACAATGATGAGGTAACAACATGTTTGTATTGTCTCATAAGTTTATCTGACTTTTCTCGAGATTACTATTTAAGTTCTATAAAACTAGGATAACTTTGATAACCGTTCGTATGTGCTTAAATCGATGTTACGTCGAGACAGGAGTCGATGGCGCTTCTTCGTCTGTTAACCTGTTATTCTCAACAATAAGTATTGAATGAGACTATAATTTATGGACTACTTTTGAGCAGCCCTAAAATTTCCTTGGAATGTTGATCTACTTGCCGGTTTTAAATGAGGACTATAGATTGGTGTGACTTAATTTTTCCATCACGAGTTGATGAAATGGTATTTAGCCAAATGAATGAATGGATGCTATCTTATATCTGATTGCCTCGTCGATAGGTCGTAGTTTCGGATATTATATCGTCTCATTAAGTATGATATGGGTCCAGGTGTTTTCAATCACTGCATAGAAATAGTGGGAAGTTCGATTATTGACGTTTTAGGTGCATCCAAGAGCTATAATCTTGAACAAAACGTATTCTAGCTGATCAACTACAGTATTCCGTTTAATCATGCTACAAAGTACGAAGCATATCATCTACGTATTTGAAGGGCTTGTGGAATAGCCACACTATGCAGTTTATTTTGTCAGCCTCATTTATTTATTTGAACACAAATATTGGTACAAGGCGACACCAGATATATATGCGCCACACAAAACAATGGGAATGGGAAGAGAAAAAATGCAAGGTGCATACAAGAAAAAAAGAATAATCACGACCACGGATTAGTGTATGGTAGTGTAATAATAATAATAGTGGAGGGAACGGAAGCGTACAACCAGAAGAATTTTTTCAGTTGAGGAAGTTACAACCAATTACTCATAGAGCTTTTTGCACTTTAAATTGCGAGGTCGGTACTTTATTAGTAATGTGCTGGTGACTGTTGCCGTGATAAGCATAGATTAGCGCACTTCTGGAATTATTCTGCCAGTCTCAACGTCCTGACCAAGTGAATAAGGTTGGAGCTCAAATCTATCAGTGTCACTACTTACTGTTATATTACGTACCTGCAAATAAGAATATTGACGTAAGGTCATTGGCATAGATTAGAATTATTAGGGACTATAAGATTACGCTTTGCGACACCGATGTTACAGATTTCTTACAAAAGTAAGAACTAAGTTTCTGCAACATCGTCATAATGATTTCTTAAGACAGGTCAGTGATGCCGGTTTGTATGCAGAGTCGGTTGTGTGACGCACTGTACGTTATCCATAATAGATTGCAGTTGAAAGACTTAGTTGGAGTTGTGATATATGAGACATTAAATCCTCGTACGACAAAGCAACTATCAATCTCGCTCCAATTATAAATGTAACTCAAAAAGAAGTCACCTGCCAGGATGAGCTCAGTACATCAGGTGGATCACTTGTCCAACTCATGCAGGACTCAAAATCGAGCCTCAATATAATTGCCCAAAAACTCAAAATTCTTAAGTTCTCCCTACTCTCTGGTCAGTTATTTTCAAAAAGTCTCATTTCTTATGATCTTCGAGTAAATAATCTGAACGGACATTTATCTTCCAATCCTAAACCGTGTTTGATTTCCTTTATAGCATCTGTCTGTCCTCATTCTCATCTAGCATTAGTTTTTTTAGGTTCAGTCCCGCCATCAACAAACTTACTGAACCTATGTATCTTTGTGATGTGTACTCAGGGCAGTTTCTTCAAGATTGTGCCAGTTATCAAAAATAACGAGTCAAAGGTTATGACCATGCCGTTTCAATGGATCAAACATCTGACTTCTATAGTTAGTTTACGGACTGACTGGACGTTACCGAAAGTGATTGTCGACTGCTTTTAGGAGCCGTAATTCTCACCTAACATGTGACATGGTGTTGTAGTGATCCAGAAAATTTCTTGCAAAAGACAAGCAAGGATCAGAAAACACTGAGAAGCGTTTCATCCAATCAGCGTTCACTTGAAGTTTTAGCCAAAAATATCAAGGAGGTGAAACGTCATATGTAGAGGTTGTGATTGGCTGGTTGCTATACTGCTGCCATGTTTAGTAGCATTCCAGAATCTTCGAGCAACCCAAGGACATTTAAAAATATTATAAAAACCCTATATTTTCTGTGTTAAAACGAACCTTGGAGTAAAGTACTTATCGCATACTTCGCGTCTTCTCTCTCGTTGTTCAGGTCGCTGTATAGTTCTAGCTTGGGGGTTACAGAATAGCTTAGGGAACGAATATGGTGTTAAATTTGCAAGACTTATCATATGGTCCTTTCAGGCAGAACTTCTAATAGGGTATATCATGTCAAGTTTTTCTTGTACATATGTACGAGTTTCTAGAAGATTTTTAGTGGTCCAGAACAATGCTTGGTGATTTATTTCCACTCTCTAGAGTTACATCTATGATCAAACAGTGGAGTTGTGATATTTTGTTACTACTTGGTATAGTTGAACCAGTAGTGTGGGAGTGTAACATGTGGAACCATCATAGGAAAGGTTTTTATTTATATCTTTATTGCACAATTAGTAAACGCTCGTATTGTGTTTTATATTTCCCTATTACCAAGCTTTTGTTTAGTGTATGAATCGTCGTAAATCTTGTTCCAAATAGACTAATAATTTCTCTGGTATTCCAGTTTTATTTTAGTTATGGCTAAGTTGTTTACATATTATAATTCCTTAATTGTTTTGCTGTGTAGTCAGACATTGTGGGTATGGGTTTTGAGTCATGATTGAATAGAGTACAACAGAGAAGTAATGTGCTGTCTATTTTCGTCTTCTGATGGGACATCAGTTTAGACTGGGCTTGAGTATCAGTAAGCGTTAAGGTCTTGGTCGGTGTGTTAGTAGGTAAATATGAACACCATCAGTTCTACTGGCAATATAGACAAATCGACCGCTAGTCCGACTACAGAGAGGTGTCATATAACTGCTCCTACAATTACAGCCTCACCACATGTGACCCAGTAAACACAACCCTCTTTTTTTCCTATTTTGTTATTACTATGACTTTAAACGCTTTTTAAGTACTTTGCTCAACCTCTTACTTCGACTGTGGTTGCCTTTATTTAGCCAACCTGTGAAACCCAAAATTGAACCGGTTTTTTCTTCGAAGCGTTGGAAAGATATGTGTGAGTCGTTGGATATCTTCCCGCATTTGATTACTTGCCTGACTAACCGTTTCAAAATGGACCATCTAACCGCTATTCAGGAAGCCGCACTTCCTCCTTTAGTTGATGGAAGAGATGTTTTATTACGTGCCCAAACAGGATCTGGCAAAACTCTAGCATATGCAGTCCCACTGTTCGATCGGTTAATTAACCTTGACCCTCCCGTTGAACGTAAAGATGGACCTTTAGGGATAATAATTCTTCCTTCAAGAGAATTAGCAACACAAACATTTGATGTTTTCAAAATTCTGTCTCAAGCTTGTGTACGTATTGTTCCAGGATTGTTGGTTGGAGGGATGAAACGAAAATCACAGAAAGCAAGGTATATTTCTCTGAATAATATACAGACTTCATTTTACTACTTTTAGCTTTCAGTGGATTATTAAAAGTATTTTGTACCTACGTGAACTAAAATAACAACTAAATAACTATCAGTTTCTCTTACGAATGTGGGATATACTCGATAACTATTTTGATAACTACGATACTATATACGATAGCCCTACTCTCTCAATCCACTTCTTTACTCCAAAATAAAAATCTTGTTAAAAAGATTTATTAGACGAGACAAAAGAAGATTGACTTCATATTTAAGTCAATTCAGATATATATAAGTGATTATTGATTGCAGAATTTTATTAACTGAGTCATTATCACCGAGTATAAATCATAATGAAATGAACGTTACAAGAAAAATGAATTAAGAATCAAATGACAAAATACAACTGAAAGTATATGAATAGAAGTCACGAGGATTCTTCGTAGTTGACTGAACGAAAATCACCTTAAATTGGTATGCGATGTTAAAACTGACTTTCTTTTTCGCATGTCGTATTTCAGGATATAGTATCCCGAAAATTTTGTATTCTATGACCATATTGATCACTGATAACTACCTTGTTGGTGTATTATAATTGAAACTGTTCTGTTTAAGAGGCTGCAGTACCACTCTTCCATATCCTTACCTTCAGATTTTCGTATACAGTCCTTAATGTATATTGATGTAAATAATACTACCCCATCCTCTTCATGGCAAATCACTTCCAGTTTAGTTTAGTCACCAATATTTGACCGCGAGGTCTACGTCATGGTTTTTTAGTGACAATTCTTGCTATTTAGCCATACTATCTTACGTAAATCTCTTAGTTATGTGTTCATGGGTAGTAAACTGTATTAGTTGTCAAACTTTGTTTATCTGTTGTGTTTTAACCATTATCAGCAATTCAGTATTCTGTTGTGATACTACATGCTAAGTGCTTTGTTAAGATAATTGATAAGTAAGATTCTTAGAGTAACTGGGATGGGGTTGATCCTCAATCTCAAACTGAAAATGCCTTAGAAGGCAGAACCACTGACTATCTGAGTATATTGCTTGGGAAATTTATAGACAAAATAATCAACCAGAATAGTATAACTGAATTACTTACCAGTTAACAAATAATCAACCAAGTGTGAAAATTACATTAAACAGCAATTGATGACCACCCACTTTTGTTTGTTATATTACGACGCATCAAGCAAATGAAAACATTTTGAGGCTCTTCAGCAGTCTGTATACTGAACAACTGTTTTGGTTCTTAGTGGTATGTCAAGTGATATCACTTCGTGACAGAAACCACTTGCAACTCAACCCAAAATGGTCTTTCGAATAAGATCATTATAATGTCAAACTATTACTCATGTATTCAAATTCATGAACCAGGTATACAGAATTCTGTCTATTTATTTGAACACACAAATATTGGTACAAAGAGGCACCGAATACATATGTGCCACACAAGTCACTTGATTTGTGTGTGGGCTGTGATATTTTTCGGGTGCCCAGACCAAAGCAGGTGGTTTTCTTAGGGGACCACACCCGGAGCATTCGGCCTAAAGGTCTGGTCCATTAGGCAGTGGGGCAACGTAAGGAGATGTAGTTCCATGGTAACCGGTGACCAACTGTTGGTTCATACGCCGTTTGTTCCTTCGGGATTCTGGAGCCCATGTACACCATTGGTTTGGAATCAGAGTTTTCCAACTCCTAGGTGAAATCTCCATGTCCATCAACCCGATTAAAGCGCCGGACATTCGCTCTTCGTCCTTTCGATTTCGTAAATAGAATTCTAGCTAGTTAAGTAAAAACTATAATGTTTTCAACGAGCGTTAATCTTGGCATTTACGATTACTTGACGATAAAAAGACTATATAAGGTAATCAAATATGTACAATACCTATAGGCACTGACTACAACATAAATCCAAGATGGAATAAAACTAATCAAAATATGTGGAGTAAATCCAATCAAATCAATCATTTTCAAAATTGTTTTATGTTAGTGTCTGTCACTGTAAGGTATGCCAAGGAAATACATCAACCTTGTTCAGACTCTTCTCCAAAACTACCAATCAAGTCGGAATCATGGCAAATCGTTATCGGAATTCTTAACTGGTGTTCATCAGCGTTACCTTCTCCCTCCATTTTTATTTAGCTTTGTCATAGAGACAAAGCTTTCATTGTCTGACTTGGTCTTATACGGGGAGATTTATTAACTCGTTCACCGGGTCTAGGTTCATGTATTTCGCTTCGAGCCATACTCTGAGTTTTAGAGCTAGTGGTTCTAACCAGTTGCCCAAACTTTAGAAGGTGGAGCAAAATTCGGACCTGTGACTTAATGGCTAGAAGTCGAACTCTATAACCACTGAGCCACCACTCAATAGATGATATAATCCTGTTTGATGAAGACATTGAGTCAACACCTGAATTAATATTAGGGAATGAAGTAGATTAGTGTATCGACCACTTATTTTGGAAGTTTTATTAGCCCTGGTGGGTTGATTGATGTCTAACAAAATTTAGGCACATATTCAGAAGGCTTGCGTCATTTGTGTAGTAGGCGAAATGTCTGTCTACCAATCAATGGACGATTATACTGTTCAGAAATTCACTCTGTCCTACTCTATGATTGTGACGTATGGTCTTTAGAAATAGATATTTTGAGATCGCTAGTATTTTATCATACATTTCTTCGAAGAATACCCTTATATTTTGGGACAGTTGAGTTAGCAATACTAAGGTTGAATGTAGGATGAGGATGTCGAACCGATTAATGAGGTAGTGAATTTTTCTCGATTGAAGTGGTTGAGACATGTGTCACGTATACCCAACCACGTATACCTCGACGAGCAATGTTAACAAGCATGAAAATAAATATAGGAAGAAAAATAAGAATGGCAAAACCAAATCGTGGTACCAGTCCATAATATCATTGATTGGTGGTCTGCGTTATATTGGTTGGTCCAGACTATCTTGCTAGAGTTTGCATGATTATCGTAACCAGTGGTTGGAGACGTTTGTTAACCTGGGCGGATTCGATTGGGATGACACAGACTCATTCACTCTCTATCTTCCCTTTGATTTGAAGTTTCAATCATTTCTTACATGCTTTATGGAGCTAATTCATTTATTCTCGAATTGTATTGTCCATGCCTACTTCTTAACACTACTACTGATACATTTACCGATTCTGCTACTGTGCGATTTATTTTAATTTCATCTCGGTGTGCTGATATTGTGTGGCAACGTGAGCTGGTGCACATATGCACCAGGTTCTACCTTGTTTCTGTCTGATTGGTTTTGTAAAAGCTTTGTTTGACTAAAGATTGCTACTAAGGTTAATGTTGACATTATTTCTATCTTTTACGTAAATCTCATTCTCTTTACTAATTGTTCCCTTGAAACAGTCTAAGAAAGGGTATCAATATTCTAATTGGTACACCAAAGCGCATTCTTGATCATATGGGACATACGTCCACACTCGATCTTCGAAGAATAAAATGGCTAGTAATAGATGAAGCTGATCGTTTGTTAGAAATGGGATTCGAACGAGATGTTAGACAGATTGTTGAAGGATTAATGCAGCAGTTCAATTGTTTTTCGACGGAAAATAAATCCATATCAAAAATTCAAACCGTCCTTTTATCTGCAACATTATCTCCGGGTACGTTTTCCTACCTTCTTTCTATTTTATCTAAAGGAAAAATAGTTGAGTAACTGGAAGAAATAGGTTATAAGAAGAGATGCATATGATGATATATTATTCGTCAGTTGTAAAAAAAGTGAAAACAATGATTATGGAATAAACAATTAGATAAATCTAATTTTAAAGCACTCTTCATAGTTCTCATTCTGTTGACCTGGGAGAAAATTAAGTAACAATTCGGCTCTCTTATGTTTCGATCCCAAGTCTCTACGTTTTCTTCTGTTGGCTCAACAAAACTATCATCCACTTTCCTTCATGTAAACTTTACGTCTGTGACGAAGTGAGCGTTGTATGGATTTTTTAAAGGGCGCCTCATATCTCGGTATCATATGTATGATGTTTCCAAAGAACATAAATAAATAACCACGTAATACTCTTAGCTAGTAGATACTGGGTTTCTCTCTCTGGGATCACTTGTTGTATACTGTCACTACGACGTAATAATTCATTTAAAGAATACCTTGTTCATCAGAAATATCCAAATATTCTGATAATAGCTTCAATGTATGCTTTTAATTAATATATTGTTCATATCATTACCAACCAAAAGTCCTACTAAAGTTCAGGATATAAATTTATTTATTGTAGTTATTTTTCTTCACAAATATCTGTTGACTTACTTCTATCTCTTTTTTTCCATCTAACCAAAGGAGTGGAAGCTCTTGCTGGTATGACTTTGAAGAATCCTGTACGTTGCGTGGTTGCAGAAAGTGAAACAAAAGCTCAAAATACCCAACTTTCTATAACGAAAGCCTCTGAAGTAGAGTTAAATACACAAGTAAATAACGTTGCTGAATTCGCTCTTCCTACAGGGTTAAAACATTTTGCACTAATTGTTCCTTGGAAACTGAGGCTTGTCTCATTGGCAGCTTTCTTATTACTAAAATGCAAAGTAAGTGGTTTTCCATGCTATTTTATTCAGTGAATATTACTCGTTAGTTTTTTTCTATATTAGGTAACTCATTAACTACAGATCAGTGGCGTATTGGTCGAGCTGTTCGGACTTCGCCCACTATGTCAGGTTTGAACCCTCCTCCTACTTCGATTTGAGCAACGAAGTAGTATTATTACCCCTCAGACTTCGGGTGTAACGTATATACAAGCACCTGGTAAATGAATTAATTCACTCGATTCAATAAATCACATCTAAGTTTATGTTAATAAATTCTACTTGGCTATCGAATCGAGAATATGCAAAAGTAGCTGATATCTCTAGTTGGAGGTCAAGTGATTCAACTACACGAATCCACTCTTAACGCTATCATGTCCATTTCAAAATGAATAGCTCACATCCTGGTGTGAGATTTCTTTCCTCAATATACTGTACAGAAATAAGTTTCTATTGTCTACTAAACCGGAATGCAGTGACAGCATCGTGTTTTTCTTGAAAGATTGTTTATATAGATTCTATTTTTTAACACGAAAACATGAAGATGGAAGAAGTCGGTACTAAAAATATTTTCTTATTGGGTATTAATTGTTAATAACAATATTTCCTTATGTAAAGGTTTCAAACAACAGCATCTTTGGTACCCGTCAAGCAATGTATTCAAATACCTCGGTTTTACATACTTCAACTGTCAATAAAATGGCAATAAACTTGTCATCTGTTAATATGAATGGAGTTATCTCGTTAAGCTTACCACTAGAAATTAAGTTACTCAGCTTATTTAGTTAATGAATGGAGATCACCCGTAAAACTTAAGTTGTCCTTGCCTTCGAAGTAATCAAACTAGACGGATCTTCGTAGCGAATTTTCGAATGGTCATAGGGAATAGCTAAATAGTAATATCAATTTAGTAATACCCAATACATTCGTAATCAATGCGATTCTATAATTATTTGATTTAACCATACTTATATAGTTATATAAATTGATGTGCCTACATGTGATCTTCAAATCTGTGCCGTATTCTTTAGTAAAATTTATTTCTTTTTCCAGTATCATGAAAATGGAGGGAAGCTAATCGTTTTTATGGCAACTCAGGATTGTGTGGATTTTCATTATCACCTATTCAAATCAGTATTATGCGATGAATCTGAGGAGCTTATTTCTAATATACCTGTCATGAATCTGTCGATTTACCGGCTTCATGGAAGCATGGAACATAAAGTAAGAATTATGTAAACTTTTTAAACGCCTTCACAGGTTATGTAGTCTTTAGTGACAATTTTTAAAATCATTTTCACTGTATTGGCTATTAGGTATTCATATTCAAGAGCTTTTGTATAGGTTAAGGAAATAAAAATGACAGTTAATCTTACACGATTTAGTAACCATACGACGACTTACATCATAAGCAAGTGAACAACAAAGAATGATTGCATATAATGAAATCAATATGAGTTCATAAAAAGGGGGATGTAACACAAATGAGAAAAATAAAATAAAAGTTATAAAATCTAACTCACTATTTTGAGTTTTTCAGTGGTTACAACCCACTTCATTTAAGTTTTTAAGAAGGTATACCTCAAGAAAAGTTGTCATTACAAATATTGTCTTTAAAAACCCCGTGCTATGAAGGGATGTATCGATTGAATCTCCTGTTAGTATTTGTCGTTCACTGACTACAAAGAGTGGTATTTATCATAGTTCTGTTCTCAGTGTTTTTTGCTTACAATTTACATGCCTATTCTCTAAATTACCGTTATTATTTTAAGGAACGTGAATCAGCTTTCGGTAGCTTTTCATCTAGTCAAGCTGGTGTTCTAATCACTACAGATGTTGCAAGTCGAGGTTTGGATTTAGCATCAGTTGCTTGGGTTGTACAATACCACGTAACGGGAGGTCCTATCGATTATGTACATCGTGTTGGACGCACTGCACGAGCTGGGGGTCATGGTAAAGCATTGCTTTTTCTAGAACCTGAAGAAACTGAATTTATGAACCTCTTAAAATCAAAAGTTGGAATTGAAATGAAAGAAATAAGTTTGCCTGATCTACTTCAGACCGTTCTTTTTCATTTACAGAATACTAAGCATCCTGGGAAGCTAAGGGTATGTTTTCATATCTACTTTAGATTTATTTATGTATTAAAGTAAACTGCTTTTATGACTCAGATTCAGTGGGCCAATCAAACACCGGCCAAATAGTAAGCAAATCCTACCAGCCAATGTTTAGCTCCCTTTTCTAAGGAACGAGGAGCCCGCCATTGGTTAAACATGTTTCTTAGATTTCTAAGGGATATATTTATATTTGGTTTAATCAATAAAGCGAGTCTGCTAGTTAACATTCTGTCTAACTTAAATATATAAACGCCACTGAAATCAGCGATTTTATTGAAATCACTAAGATTATTGCAACCATTGCCTTCATTAGATGCCATAAAAATGCCGCTGAATTTCTCCTTACAGAAAAAGCAACTTATTTGTGCATAAGTTATTTCGATTTTAATAAATATATGAAGTAATATTTTACATCTAATAATGTTGTTGGAAAATAGGCTTTTATAACCAACTGAAGTAGTTTGTATGAAACATTAAGCGACTTAACTTTGTGAGCATAAAACTCTCGATTAAATATTTCCAAACCCGATCTTCTTACACAGAGGTTCAATCAAAATATTTTCGTATAAAAAATTGATTTTGTGTCATATCTTTCCTGCAGAGGTCCCTCGTTCCGAGTATAAGTGATAAGTGTTTCCGACATAACATTCAACGACGACCAGATACAAAAAGTAGCATTAAAGGAGCGAAGACAATAAGCATTCAAACGACAAGTTACAACATTCCCATTTTAATATTTTCATGTTTAGCTAAATTAATTATATATTATTTGTTATTCTAGACTTCATTTCTTTAAGTAAATTTTGTTGAACAATGACAGTAAACTACCTCTTTATCCTACCTTTATATTATTTAGCCACATGATTGTACAACAGTTGAAGAGGGAACTAGTCAGCTGTTTCATTTGTTTCTTCATGCTGTAGACAATGATGACACTTTGACATCACTTTCAGAATTGGCCTATATATCATTTCTACGTTCTTATGCAAGTTTTTCGGGTGACTTACGACCTATATTCACTTTCAAACGTCTTCACCTAGGACATGTTGCTAGAGCATTCTGTCTACAAAAGAAACCATCCGATGTCGCTTCTCGTGTAAGAGGTCGTTTTGTTAAGGCTGATAGGCAGAAGAGTTCTACAGGAAAGAAACGGGGGTTTGATAGCTCGAACGAAGATGACATAGTACCACAAAAACCAAAGTAAGTTGAAGTAAACATAAACTGCTGTAAATCTTCACATATTAATGCATTGATCGAACACTTATTCTACGATTGGTACCTTTGTAGCATGCCAGTTAAGAGCCTTTCGAGATTCAATCCCACAACGCCTTGACGGTTACGTATGACCGTGCTCAACCCAAGTGAAGTGGCTGATCTCTTTAAAAAATACTTTTATTTTCTCGAAAAATTATGCACCTTTGTATATTGCTGAATTCATTACTTCAAATTGTACATCAACATTTCATGGGATTATAGAGATTCAGTCGATATTTCTGTCTGAATTGTGCTATTGTCCAGAGTAGAAAAGTTTGCACTCCTCATTTAGAGATGGTTTTGGTCATATGTATTTGACCAATTAATATTCTTTTGTTGGTATATATGAATCAATAATAGATTACCATTGGAAGTGTATTTATGTTTTAATAAAGGAAATGGCGTATGGAAATGTGTTATGCCGGACAGCGTGAAAGTGTTGAGACATAATATCTAACTAAATCAAGACAACATAATCAAAATCTAAATTTTTTGTATAGAAAACCCTTAATTATAAGCTTTATAATACATGTAGGTATCATTACCAAAGTTTGATTTGATAATTTCGAGTAAATTGAGCATTGCGTAGATTGTTATAAATAAATAAATAATATATTTGTAATATCCCAATGAGTAGAAAATTAGATTTTCTAACGTTTCGTGGCTTAGTGTAAGTCACTTCTTCTGAAGAAGTGACTTACACTAAGTCACGAAACGTCAGAAAATCTAACTTTATAATACATATTCGCATTACGTTACGGACTTGGGTTAGTATATTCTACGAGAATTTAGTGTTTCTTTTTGTACAATATTTCATTTAAAGTGGTTTCATCTACATGAATAATCAAAAGATCTCTTCATATTTTTACTCCACTTTGAAAAATATTTAAAAAAAAACAGGTATTCATCTGCTTTATCATTCGATAAACCCCAGAAGAAGCAAACTATGAACCGCACAAAACCGTCTGATTTGGCCAAACGTAACATGCTTGCAGAATATGGTTTATAATCCAATCTATATACCATTTGTATATACTTTTTACATACTTCTCATGTGTATAAAAGCAATCTGTGAATATGCATTTTTATGTACAGATATATTCTACATATAAACTGATAATTATTATTACTACTTTTTGCTTACAAGATCTGTCATCCTTTGCTAACGTATTCGAGTATTAGATAAAATTAAGTGTTACTAAAACATTCTTAAATAGGTTTACGCCTACTTTAACAATAAATACTGACTCCTCCCGACCTACACATAACTATTATGTTTTCGAGGCAAAATTACAGTTTAACATAATTGATCGAAATAAAAGCCACATGACTGAGAAGACTGCAGTCAAATAATATGAGAAATATTAAATAAAGCAGCAAACTCAGTTTGTTAAAGGGAGATATTATTCATTAAGTGGTTGACTAAGAATACTGAAAAACTATTATCATTCCGAATATACATTTATATTTCAGGTAGTTTATTGAAAATAGCCAATTTTCTGAAAAGGATTTACCTTTTAAACAACTAATAATAACCTTCATGTGATTCCTTGATCTCTATAAAAGTTATATGAAGGTAAATTTGCTTGACCAAATAATTGGTTACTTGTAATAAGCATCTTATTGTTCCGCACAATGATTTATATTCACATGAAGAATAGGTTGATCTATACATGTCTAACCATCAGACATTTTGAAAGATGCCATAATTTCCTATTTATTGATAACTGTTTATCTTATTTCCTCACTAAGATTCAACTTATTAAATAATATGCAGGCGAACTTCGTAATCCAATAATGTTGCTTAAAAGATGTGGATGTATATATTTGAAAAATGTTAGTTTAATGTTGGAGATTGGTCTGTTTTGTCATTTAACGCTACATATTTGGTTATTTTCTATCTATCGCATTATTTGTTTATCCTCTATCGTTTAATGGAGAAAACTAGTGTTTAACAAGTCTGATTGACTGAAACGATTATCATACTGACGTCGAAAAATAACAACTTTATCGTAAACAAAAGGATTATTTATTTTTATTTCGTTTAAATCCACTCTAGAAATAAGTGTGAATAAGTTAACAGTTTACTTGAAGTTTAAACAAAATTCTATCAAACAAGAATCTTTCACCGGCCATAAGAAAAAAATCCGATGTTAATAATCTTGGTTAAGTTTTCCAAGCCAAAGTATTTTGAAGAAATATTATGATCGTAATAAAATCAAAATGTTCATGAATATGTTCGTAAATGATTAAAATTTCGATATAAATCTTTCTGAGTTCCCTTTACTTTTCAGTCTTTGCATGAATTGTGCATCGGATGGTTTCTGTAAAAGAAAAACTGTCTTAGAATTTGTACATTTATTATTCATCACTATAGGGTTATAAAAATTGTTAAGTTTTGATTGAGATCATGAATGTATCAATGTTAGACCATCATTGAAGACCTGGAAGCGCCGAACGGTCGTTTCGTCTCAGTGTGGGGTTCTTCAACAGTCAGTCAGACGTCATAATTATTATACTTAGCTATTGCTGCATATGGTTTACTTCTCAATAACAACTAGATTCACGTAAAATTCCATCTCAATGGTTTAATTGTACCATACTAGCTATGGCTCCTAAAAAACCATATGATAGACTTTGTCAGGTATCCTCTATGCTGAGGTATCGCGACTTGGGATATAATTTCAGAAATTCGACGACAGTTGTTAGTGCTATTTCAACCATGTAGCATTTTATTAGTAAGTAGTGTATAATTTAATGCATCAACTGGTATTGCGACTATTTATTAAAACTGCTCTACAATGATATTGTCTATACATGGGTGTAGATTACTTTTCATCCATTCTTTTACTTACTACTCATGATAAGTCCTGACATTTGATCTATATATTAGTAAATATGATTCAGTTACCAGGCTAATCATTCTGTACTGCAAGTAGTATTAAATGTTTCAGCAGTCAGTGTGAGTATCTCTCTGAGTTTCATGCTTGTTGACATATATCAATAAAGTTCACCTTCAACTTCAACGGGAATGGCTGATATTGTGGTAGTTTGTAACCGTCTAATAGTTCCGTTCGAACTTTGGGTCAAAATTTTAAATTCATCTGATTTTTGTGGTATGTTTTAATATAAACTATTGACAATCCTACTTATTATAAAGTAGATCAAAGAAAAACTATCGGTATATAATCCGTTTACTAAATTAGGGTAGACTAACTAAATCAGCGATTACTTATAGTGCAGTGATGAGCGAATATCTCGGCTTTCAACAGTTGAGTCGAAGACCGAAAATCAGCACACTTAATTCAATTGATGGAGCTGTATTTTATCATTATCTTACCAAAAATTTAGACTGAAGACCGATTACACGAATCTGTATATAACGTAATAACCATCTACAGATTCATAGTGATATCAATTACGATTTTTGCATTAATTTTCGTTTTCTCATTAAAAATTAGCTAATCATATATATATATATATATATATGATACCCATAATGCTACAATTGGAAAATAACTACCTAAATTAAAACTGACTTACACAAAATGGTCGTTGTTCACTTTCTTGATCTGATTGCTTTACCGGTACAAGTGGTCGACGTAATAGTAGCCGACGTAATGCCATATTTTCTTCTCTCAATCGTTGAATCCGTGCTTTTAGTTCAGTAATTATTCGAATTGGTTGTTGACTGACCAAATCATTTGTACCATTTTTATTATGATTTAGTGAATATAATAATTGATGAATAGATGAAAGATCTTTATGCTTTCTAAATATATCATGTAGAATGAATGTGAAGACAGATTATGTTAAATTAAAATTTACATGTTTTCACTGCATAGACATTTTTCTCATCCTAATGTGTACTTCAGATCTCTACTTATACATGGTAGGGACGTATTTTTAATATTCCCCCATCAGGTTAACTAAACTTAATCACTAACATATAGTCTTACAGTAAAAGTGATTTCTGTAGCATAGTTGTCTATTAAGACTGTGTAGAAAGTTACAATTTGATTATTATAGGTGTCGTTGAAGCATTATTCGTTCAAGTCGGAAACTCTGATTAGTCAAGCAATTTCTGGGTTATATGTAGTCGTAGGTGGTCATTACAAGTCACTTAAAAATTCAAACCTTTGTTGAGTGATATAGTTGAAAAATGTGTAACACATATCAAGCCAACACGTACACCGTCGCCTTATGCTAGCTATTATGAAATTAGGTTCTAAAAAGCATACTGGCAACACTGAGACATTCTATCAAACTATGAAACCTACAACTTTTGGGATGGCTCATATTAATAGGTGTGAATATCGTTTTTTTGGCTCACGATACCGTAATCTGGTTTTGTTGGGATTTCATGGCCCAGAATTTCTGACAATCGGATAGTTGTATTTATTCTCTATCCTTAGTCTCATTCCATACATTTGATTATTCCATCTCATCTCTTTATTTTTAAATTAAAATTCCTCTTCATTCCATCTTAATGGATATTATTATTTATAATTTTTTGCTACTGAGCTTGTTGATTTATTATCTTGCTGTGTTGAAGTATCGTATAACATCGTAAGCTGAAACGAATTCATCCCAAGAACTACATTATCTATAAATTACTGAAATTGATGTTTTCTGTCAACATAGTTAAGTATACAAGTACTGCAACAAATATATATATATATATATATATATATATATATATTGATGATGAAGAAGGAAAGTTACCTATCATTTGCTTCTTCATGATCTGGTTTATTTCTTTCAACCGTTGATTTTTTGATTTCTTGTTGTAATTGTTGTATTTCATTTTTCAAGCATTCAATCTCATCATCTTTTAGCTTCAATTGTTCAATTAATTTTTTCCTTATTGCTTCATCTTCTAACTCTTCAATTCGGTTACGATAGTGCTAATTTAAATAAACGAGATAATATTTCCTCAGTTTGTAATAATGATGGCTTTATTCAATACTATTAATTTCATTTCAGTGAGAAGTCCAATATTTCAATAGATATTTGTTTGGAATTCATTTAGGTTGCAATTGTTCAGAAACACTTGTGTGTTTTCGACATCCATATACAATAACGTGGGTTGTATACTAGTTCATATGATATAATTATTTTTAAAAATATGATGTCAGCGAAGAGATCTCTTTTCATAGAATTTACTATCAAGATGTACATTTGTACACACATATACATACAATCTTTTATTGTTATTGTTCATATTACGTAATCTAGTATTACGATTTTTCCATCATATCATCTTTATTCCTTGTTCATATTAACTCACAGAACTAATACTTTAACAAAATACAGCTTGATAACAAATTCTTTGAAAAGAGATCCCTTTGCTAAACGTCGTGTTTTTAATATTTAAATGGGGATTATGATGATTATTTCCATCCATAATATGTAAATACGTAAGCTCTACTATGTTTGTCGCTCGTTTTATCAAAAAAGAAACAAGGAGTTAAATATGAAAATAGCTACAGTGTTTCCACCCGACGTTTCCTGTATTGAACACCACAATAATTTGTAAGCCATTTTATAGTGGTAGATCATTATATATGCTAAGCATTCATAACTATTCAGTTCAATCAAACCTATAAACGGTAGATTGAATTCAATGTTTTATCAGTTTGTAAATAAGTGTTGCAAACTTCTGAGTAGGGTTGCCCTAATGTAGAACAATGCAATAATTATAGTCTCATCATACATTACAATTTTTTGGATTTAGCTTGTTATTTAATGAAGTTTTATATATGTATGTATATTGAAGTTATTTATAGAATAACTACATAAAACCTGAGACAAATAACCTATATTATCCTTATTCATATTTCAGCCTAACAAGTTTTTCTTAACTAAAACAATTTAAATAAAGCTTAAAAATAGAAACCCAAAGTTGACGACTAAATTTATATCTTTAAGACAATGTTACATCAAATAATTTATATCATCAACTAAATTGTTGAAATTACTTAGCAATCAACATTTACAATTGATTGTTTCTATAACTTTAGGTACATAAAGCCTATAATTCAAGCCTGTTTCTAATACAATGGACTGATGAGATGTTAGCCAAATGATAAGAGTAAGCTATCGGTTGAGATTTTGCCTTATTTT